ATAAAGACAAAAACAAACTGAAAGCCAGATGATTTACTTTTTTTGGTTTGTATTAATGGTAACACTTTACAATAAGGTTCATTAGTTAAACATTAGTTAATGTATTAACTAACATGAACTAACCATCAGCAATACATTTGTTACTGTATTTACTAATCTACGCTAACGTTAGTTAATAAAAATACAGATGTTCATTGTTAGTTCATGTTAGTTCACAGTGCAGTAACTAATGTTAACAAGATTTTAATAATGTATTAGTAAATGTTGAAATGAATAAACGCTGTATAAGTGCAGTTCATTATTAGTTCATGTTAACTAATGTAGTTAACTAATGAACCTTATTGTAAAGTGTTACCGTATTAATGCTTATAAAAGCAGCAAATAAATGTTGAAAGCAGAGTCGCCTCACCTCTTGCACAAGTTTCTCTATCGCATCCAGAGTCGCGTGCGCAGGCTGAATCACAGACAGTCGCTCCATCTCCAGAAGCTCAATTTTACGCTCAAGATGAGATGTTTTGACGTTCATAAACAGACAAACTGCCACCGAAGACGCCGACAGCATGAAACATACGAGGGTTGTTAAACAATGAAATATTTGTGATGTGTGATGTCCATTGCTCTGTGATGACTTTGACACGTCTTTTGAATCCCCGGTTGAAACCATTTTAACCAGTTTTGGCATTATGGTTCAAATATTATCCTTGTTCTTGAATCCTCTTTTGAGACTCGGGTAGACCTTTATTTCAGTCAACTGGAGTATACGGCTTCAGCGCAACTGCGGCTGACAGGAGACGCAACGATGTGACGCACACTAGAAGAGAGCGTGAACTACTGAAAAAAGTGTGCTGCGCGAGACAAGCTGACGGTCGCTGCCTCTCAGCTTCAATGGCTTCCCTCTGAAGTGTCTCAGAGAATCCAGCCAGCCCTTTTTGTCGCTGCTCAACAAAACTATGTAAGCGACGAATTGTGTGTGTGTGTGTGTGTGCTGCCTCTCAGCTTCAATGGCTTCCCTCTGAAGTGTCTCAGAGAACCCAGCCAGCCCTTTTTGTCGCTGCTCAACAAAACTATGTAAGCGACGAATTGTGTGTGTGTGTGGTCGGTCTTGCCCACTCTTCGCCCCAAAGGTCAGAAGTAAAAACAAAAGGTTGACGGGGGTCTTAAGAGTATCTATTCTTTTACTATATGTTTCAACAGAGTTTTCAAACGTTAGTAAACACAAACGTGAGATAAGGCAATAAATTAGTCAGGGTAGACTAATGAACAAAAGTTCGCTGTTCAAGTGCTTTCGAAGAACTGTCAATATTTAACACTTTATTATGATACACATCACACACACACACACACACACACACAGGTTTGTTTTTATGGTTTATGGGGACTCTCCATAGGCGTAATGGTTTTTATACTGTACAAACCGTATTTTCTATTGCCCTACACCAACCCTACCCCTCACAGGAAACTTTCTGCATTTTTAGATTTTCAAAAAAAAACTCATTCTGAATTAGTTAGAAGCCTTTTGAATTACGGGGACACTGAAAATGTCCTCATAAATCACCTTCTCGTTGTATTACCTGTGTCATACCCATGTTATTATACAAATTTGTGTCCTCGTAAACCACACACACACACACACACACACATATATATATATATATATATATATATATACACACACACAAATAAACAAAATACTTAAATGCTTTTTGGAAAAAAAGTTACATTATGTAGCCAACGTTTTTCGTTGTTGTTAAAAACTAAAATAAATGTCAAAAATGAGCGAGCACATCAAAAACCAAACTGTGTTTCTTGGACCCTGATTCACTATAAGCTGTCGGGAATTGCATACTTCCCTCATTCGTCTGTAAATAAAATAATAAGGTCAGACTACAGTCTTTATAATTAATTTTTCTCCCTCGAGCAAGCTAATATTTGATGTGTAGCAAATGAAAGATCCGGCTACTATAGGGCATGTATGACAAGGAGAAGGCTTGGTTGAAACATGTTTATCGGATATACTGTATGTCTTTTTCTTTCCTTTCCTTTTCTTTATTTGTTTGTTTGTGATGTAACGCAAAAATTAAGCTAAGTCAAACTCAAGTAATTGCCAAACCGATTGTTCAATTGTTCTAAGTAATTTGTAGTTTTATGCTTCAACCACTAGAGGTCCAGAAGATAACTTTTGTTTAAAGGGATCATATGACGTTGCTAAAAAATAACACTATTTTGTGTATTTGGTGTAATTAAATGTGTTTATGCGGTTTAAGTTTCAAAAAACACATTATTTTCCACATACTGTACATTATTGTTTCTCCTCTATGCCCCGCCTTTCTGAAACGCGTAGATTTTTACAAAGCTTTTAAAATTGCGCCGCGTAAACAAAACCATGTCTGCATTTGTGATCGGAGAAACGACAAACAACAAGCGCTACCCTACACTGCTCAAAACTCACGTTTGAATCGTCAGTGGCAAATACTTTAAATATGAAAACATACTTACACGCTGCGAGTCAGCATTATTTGTCAGCATCATAGACTGTATAGGGTCAGCATGCGCCCGAAGGGGAAACAGGGGAACTGAATTCACCAGAACACCGGCATTGTAGACTATTCTCCCAGGGAACAGGCCTCGTCCTCCATAAAATGCGTTGCACACATCTGAATATTTGGGTTGAACTGTTCTGGAACAGTGTTGTAAATACAACTTAACCACTGATTTCTAGTTGTGTCCTCTTTTGGAAGACCAAACAAAATAGTTTTGCTTTCACAACGAAACACACAGCGTCTCCACGACATGACGGTGGCGGCAACGATACTACAAAGAATCAAAGTTATGCCTTCTTTCTTTGCGTATACATTTGGGCGTTGTTAAGCAAATCTTCCCACACAGTGACGTAGACATGTGGGGGCGTGTTTAAATGAGGCGTTTTAGGAGGGCGTGGACGACAGGGGCGTGTCTACGTGGCCCCCTCAGAAATTTGGCTGGCCACCCAGGTGCCCCCCCCTACCAAATGTCTTGCCATAGGCTTGTTTTTAGTAAATTTCTAATTTTAGGTGGTTTCTATAGTGTGATCTTAATGACAATGTCGAGAGCGCATAATGTTACGCGATCCATGTGCGCGAGGACGAATCTCTCCTCTCCCAAGCGGATTTCCTTCACTCACACAAAACTGGACGTGTGCTTTTAACATACATCGTTCCGCAAATACAACCCCTCCCTCCCCCCTCTTTTGAGTCAGTGCCCCCGACTGGCCCCCCATTTAAAATGCTCTAGACACGCCCCTGGTGGACGAGCCTTAACTTTTATAAAGAATATCTCTTTGGGTTTGATACTTTAGTCTTTGCAACTTTAGGGATCTTATCTATTCACGAACAGCTTGTAACACTCCAAAGAGAAAGGAAAACTTGAAATCGCATCACATGACCCCTTTAACCTCACTGTGTGCAACAGAATACAATTTGGATGGTGCAAACTGAACTGCAGATTTGATGCAGTGTGTCCAAAATAAACTCACGCAAAGGGTCAAAGGATGAATGTTTTGTGCATAGCACTTTGCATGAGCCTCTGAATCAGGGCCGGCCCGTGGCATAGGCGACAGGCAGTTGCCTGGGACGCCGCACAAATGTTTTTTTTCTCGTTCCTCTTGTGACCATCATGCGCTCCTACACCCATATATTAAGCAAATACTGGCAATTAAGATTTTAGTACTGACCGATCATCGAACTGATTAAAATAATGTTAGAATAAAATAAAATTGACATTTTCTGCGTCATGAGGTAATTATAATACATCATCATAACGCATTAATTATGCATGGCGCAAGCATAGTTTTGCCATTTATGTGCTCTGAAGTGATAATTTCTAAAAAAATTTGTGAAATTTTTTTTATCAGGGGCACAAGGCAGGAAGCGACGCAAAGAAGAGGAGCAGAAAAAAAAAGAGCAATATATGGTAAGAATCACAAGTTAATCACGGTGTATTTGCCCTTGATGTTTATGCACTATTTTGAAATAGCCTTTTTAGAACATCTTAACTGGCAACACTGACACTGTGGAACGTTTTTGCTCGAGTTAACTGCTTATTTAATTTTACTTCATTTTCTGTAAAATAAATTTTAATTCACCAAAAGTGCACTAAATGTCTTTTGAAAGAGACCATGACTAGGACTATAATCTAGCATTCGTGAATTAAAATAATTTAAGTTTAAGTATGCCAATTTTATGCACTACGCACAAAACGGAAATGAAATGAGAATGCTAATTAGATTAACTAGCTGACTTGCTGGCTAACAGCTACAAATAAATTACAATATGTAGCCTTTGTGGTTAGGGTTAGGGTTAAGTACTTGTCACTGTAGGCATAGTTGTGGGTTGCATTTCTCTGTTTGGGAGTATAGCTCATGTCTGGTCTCTTCGATACTTTAACAGATTCTATCAGAAAATACCTACAAATATAATAGCTTGTTATTTTGCACTTTTTTGTTGATTTGATTTCTAATACATTTTTTGTGTTATTCTTCAGGTGACTGTAAGTCACATTTATTTATTAACTACTTATTTATGTTTATACTTATCAGTATGTTGTTATATTATAGTAAAGTTTTAACAAATAATTTTATGGTGGGAAGGGAGGGGGATCTAAAATCTCACCTAGGGCACCAACAGAACCTGGGCCGGCCCCGCTCTGAATGTCAATTAGTGCTTTATTGCAGTAACTCGTTTGTTTCTGTCTATAAATAAAAACCACACAATTTAGTTGCAGCAAAGATGACTTGCTTTACATCCTGCAAATTCTCAAGATTTTCCCCACATGAGGTCCATCTGTTCAGTCCAAAAATACATTAGCACTAAAGACTGCAGAACTAGAAGAGCATTTGTAAAGAACAGACCTTTTGGTGCCATCTGCAGGATAGACATTATAAAAGCAGTAATTAAAAAAAAAAAATACAAAAATACAGCATTGCAGCATTGTCCGAGCGTCCGTTCACTATTAAAAAGAATGACAAAATAAAGACACAAATGTTGTGCATTCAGAGCATTCAAGTTTAATTTGCCAAAAGTACAGAGGAATTTGGCCCATATAATCAAATTGACAATAAATATGGACAGAGGTAATGAAGCACGCAGTCTTAAAGCAGACTGATACAGGCAGCAGCAGTCTCCCTGGGAGCAGTATTGTTAATTTTGTGTCGCCTCCAAGTCACTTTCTTTCTTTTCTTAATAGGTTGAAAAAGGGATGTCCGATGGCCTGCTCCAGGGTGATTCGTTTGGATGAATCATACTCCATCATCTTCTGCAGCAGGTCAAAAAGCAGCTCATGCTCCGGGGTTTTACAGGACATGTATTGCTGAGTAAGGAGCAAAGATTCAACTATATTATTTTCATCAAGGCTACCCAAACAGAAATATGTCTCAGTAACATACCGACATCTGTACATCTCCAAAATTAGTAGTCCACAAGACTTTTAATTTAAGTATTAAACATACAGAGCAGTTACTGGAGGAAAAATTAAAGACCACAGAAATTTCACACCAGAAAACAACCATCATTTCAGAAAAAAAACAAAAAAACATTGTGTTTTCATTCTAAAACCTTTAACATTTTGTACTTGTGCATATGAATAGTACAAAGTGATCAATACAACTCTGAGGCAATATATATCATTATAAACTGGTTTACATTAGTAAAACTTTTTATAAAGAGACAGTATTAGCAGCATAGTGTAATAAAGATTTGGAGTCTTGGGAATAAGCAGTTCGATGTTTAATAGCCAATATATCATGATCTTTACCTTTAGAGGTTTACAGTGTTTCCTCACGTATCTCCCTGCTGAGCTGTGCTCATCCCAGTCCAATTTGTCATGATGCACATAACGGCGTTTCCTGACAACGAAGCACAGTCATACATCAGACCATGAAAAATCTAAAAACATCGAATTTATTTGATCATGTAAGATACTTTTATTTATAAGCAAGTGGCACAAACTCCTAGTCTCAAGTTACGATACTTCACCTGGTTTTCTGGAGTAGGTGTGCAGGTATGGGGCCTAGAACCCTCTCCATCATTGCCAGATGCTCTTTACTGTCGTGAGTCTGAAATGAGGGGGGGTTTTACATTTAAAATCAAGCCACAAGACATTCAGTATAATAATAAAGCCTGTACACATGACTTTGCACCTGAAATAACGTTAACCCCAGATAGAACTCAATCAGGATACAGCCCAAACTCCACACGTCACATGCCTGGTTCCAGCCCAGTTCTGCCAGCAGAGATCAACATTTTGCAATGGTTAAAATCATGACCACATTTTAGTGAATTAAACAACAGCATAAATAACAGTGCAAAGAGTTCACCTAATATAACTTCTGGAGCTCTGTAGTGGCGGGTTGACACCAAAGAGGTGTGATGCTCGTGGTCATAGGTGGCATTGCCAAAGTCCACAACTTTCACATCCAACCTCTTCAAGGTCCTCTCATCTCGCTTCTGTAATACATTGACCATTATTGTCAGCATCCTCTCCTCACTATAAACTAGGGGTCGACCGATATGTGTTTTTCAGGGCCGATGCCGATTATTACAGATCAAGTAGACCGATAACCGATATTTTGAACTGATATATATGTCTGGTGTAAAAATTAAAATGAATGTCAAAATTAAGAATAACAAGGGCTCTGACAAAAACTGCCTTCCCTGGTGTTGGTTGAGTGTAGTACTCCCACAGTAAACTCTTTATTTTAAAGAGTTAAACTCTTCATTTTTTGGCAAACAAAGGGTTTACCATTAATATTAAAACATGGAAGAAATAGCGTATTGTGTGATTATTCTTTTAAACAAAAGTTGTAATAATTGTTGTAGTAGTCAGGGGTTAAAGCAAAAAAAAAAATCTTTTGACTGAATTTTTCCTCGGCCAAACCCCATTCCTCAGCCATACCTGTCACACACCCAGTTTAAGAGCAGTGTTTTTCTTCTTGTAATCAAGAGCGCTTGTCCTCCTAATTAAAAAAAATTAAGGAGCACCTTCTGATCAATAATCAAAAATTCTGATCAAAAATTAGCCTTCCTAATATGAGGTGAAGTGATTTACAGGGGCATTTTCTTTTTACTTTTGCAATGGCATAATTTTCATCTGTAAAATTAAAAAATGTCTTGTTTATAAGCTTTTTAAAATTTCTATTTAAAACAATATAATAAGTAGTAGAACAAGACAAATAAGTTACCAATCATGAAATTAGTATTAATGAAAAATTTATTTCTGCTACAGAGGTGGCACAAAAATAACACAAAAGTGGCTTATAGGTACATTTTCAGACATTCACTCAGGCTCAGAGGTGGCATGAGTGCAATTAAATTCATAAATTCATGTGGAGATTAATGTTTTAAATAAAATTTTGAACATAGAAATATTAAATGATTTAAATAACTGCAATTATACCTAAAAATTAAACTGAAACCGCCAGCAGGTGGCGGCAAATCCCAGATTTTATCACTGAATCATTCATTCAATTGATTCGTTTGAATGGCTAATTCATTCAGGAATGAAGCAAGTGACTGTCTTTATGAATGGGTAATCATGAATCACTGACTCACTAGATTCATTCAAAAACGCACTTTCATTCATGAATGAAACACCAGTTTGCTTTTAGAGATGTGAAGCGGCTGAGCTGTTACTTTATTTGGAACTCCTTGAATAATTATTAAAATCTGTCACTCTCCTTATTTCTCCCGGGCGCACAGAAAATGAGAGTTCTCAAGACTCAAAAGTACGTGCAAATGATAAGTTCCGTCATCTGTCATCGCGTTATAAGCACGGAACCTGCGGGAAGTAGAATTATTATTAATAGCCGCAATCCTGCGCCTGAAATTCAAGACATGTTCTGTGTTCTCTGCTAATAACCCGACTGTGAATGATGCGAGTGGCGTTATGTTGTCAGTGAGAAGCTGCAGCCATGGCGGGGAGGATGCTTGGTGTGCTGGTGTTCTGACAAATAATGCTACCTATCAGATTTTGCTACCAATAAATCGTCAGAACACCGGCAGAACAACAACAATGTACTACATGTTTCTTTTCCCCTCATTTTTTCCAATTGACGGAAAACCATCGTAGCGACGGAAAACTTTTCATCCTTGAGTAGTATTATGTACATCATATTGCATCACAGTAATATATTTCTGATAATTTCATTAAGCAAACCCGATCTTATATTTTGACGGGTTGCCATCAGGAACTTGTTTCTGTAGGTCTATATAAATGATAAGAAGATAGTTTCACTCCAATGAAACTGTCAAATGCTCATGAAGTGACTCTTAGAGGGAGTCAGAGCAGTTCTGGAGATGTTGTTCATGTATTTATGTCCTCATATAATGATACGACAGAAGCTGAAATCAGCGCAAGCGTCGCACACTTTGTGTAGAAAACAACACCGCGCATCTGTGCCATTTACATACACAGAGACACACAGAACATGCTGGATTCATATTTAAATAGTATTTTTGCGGCTGAATATTTACAGATACTAGTCCATATTGCACTCTATAAGTGTACTGACCTACTTTTGATTAATTCATCCAAACTTTGACAAATTCCGTGACATTCCGCGTCATACAGTAAATCCCATTTATATGACTGGATTCCACGATTCCGTACGCGTTTTCCGCATCACTGAAATCATAGATAATATTGAGGTGTTTTGCAACTTCAGTGTAACGTTAGGGGATTGGGATCTATTGCAACTTAAGCAATGTCTGCTGCTGCCTTACCTTTGAGAGACAACTGATGCGTGATCACTGAAGCAGCTGCAGTTAGCAAGTGCTTTCGGAGTGAGAGTGAATTCCGCATTGATTGGTCGGACTCATGACTCCCAACAAATCAGATGGGCGGTGGGCGGAGACTGCTTTAGGCCACAGAGTGGTGAGTTCTGACAGGCTGCATTAGAGCCAAATAGTGCGTTTCAAAATTAAGTTATTTTACCGGCGAACCGGTTTTGAAAATGGCCGATACCGATAACCATAAAATGCTTAATATCGGCGCTGATAATCGGTCGACCCCTACTATAAACCAACACTTGTTTGCTTATAGACATATACTACTGTTCAAAGGTTTGGGGTTGATGCAGTTTGATATTTCTGTGGAAACCATAATACAGTTTTTAGGATTTCTTGAATGAAAGAATAAGAAGTTCAAAAGAACGGCATTTATTTGAAATATAAATATTTTGTAATATATAAATGTCTTTTGATACATTTAAAGTGTCCTTGCATAAAGTATTAATTTCCTTCAAATAGAAAGAAAATCGAACCGACTCCAAACTTTTGAACTATAGTTTATAACATTTCATTATGCTCTTACTTACCATCTTGGAGTTGTATTTAATGTTGTAGTTTGAGTCCACAAATAGAATGTTTTCAGGCTTAAGGTCGGTGTGCGTCAACTTATTTCGATGCAGAACTGGTGGCAAAAAAGTGATTTATCTATATTTAGAAATGATGTATAACTGATTTGATTTGTAGCATTGATGCTGTTTAGTAAAAATGTATACATCTATACTCACAGTGCACAGCTCTAAATATCTGGTCTGCCATGCACCTGATCTGGGTCAGTGAGAAGGGCATAAATCCATTCTCCTTCAGAAAGTCATATGTGCTCAGTCCCAGCAGCTCAAACACTATGCAGATGTGGCCGTGGTGATCAAACCAGTCTAGCATCCGGACACAAGCACTGCAAAGAGGTAAAGGTAAGTTATTATGGCCAAAAACCTTGTCTATTTACAAAGTATTTCTACAATGAAATACACTCACAATCTCTTTTCTTCATCAAGCGAGTTTATCCGCTCAAGCACATCAACTTCTGACATGGCTGCCTCACGGTAGCGCTCAATATTTTTGATGATCTTCAGCGCCATTTTTTCATTACTTCCGGGGGGAAAAATTTTTTTTTTTACATGCATTAATTTTCATCAATTCGAATGAATACAATCCAGTTTCAGATTCTGAATGTTCTGTTTTTTATGAACCCTAAATTTAGCATTTTCTGATTCACATTTTCGTATTTCAACAAAACTTCAGCGAATGAACAAATGCTTGATGACATACCTAAAGGGAAAACTGTCAGAAGAGCTTTTTTAGCCAATATTTTGTCAATATACAGTCTATTCCACTGGCCTGTTTGTAACATTTAAATAAAAATGTTTAAAATATGCATGTTCGTATGAAGTAAAACATATGTAAAATAAGATCTTATTATAAAAGGGCTCTGGTAAACATAGGCAGCACGGCACTGCTCATATGCGCAAGGTATTTTTGAATACAGAAAAAACAATCGTACTTAAAGGGATAGTTCACCCAAAAATGAAAATTCTGTCATCATTTACTCACCCTCAAGTAGTTCCAAACCCGTATAAAATTTATTTGTGCTGCCGAACAGAAAGGGAGATATTTTGAAGAAAGTTTGTAACCAGGCTGTTTTGGGGCACCATTGACTTCCATAGTAGGAGAAAAAAATACTATGGAAGTCAATGGTGCCCCAGAACTGCTCTGTTTCCCACATTCTTCAGAATATCTTCCTTTGTGTTCTGCAGAACAAAGACATTCATACAGGTTTGAAACTACTTGAGGGTGAGTAAATGATGACAGAATTTTCATTTTTGGGTGAACTATCCCTTTAAACGTTTACATGCATATATTTATTGATCAGATTATTTCAGGTCTATAACACTCCTTTCAATATAACCAAAATTATATTCAGATTGAGCTAACTGATTATTTGGGTGCATGTAAATTAAGTTACTGTTAAAAAGTAGTAAAAAAAAACAACAAAAACACAAAATCAGGCTTACTTTGAATGGTTGAGGCACTCCACCACTTTCCCAAAAGCTCCTTCGCCCAGAGTCCCAACAATCTCATCTATAAACAGGATAAAGATGCAATCATAAGTAAAGCTTTGGGACAGGAGGATGCAACATACAAAAGCTCAGATTTTACAGTACTAACGGGACTTGACAAGTTCATTCCAGTTAAATCATATTCATTGAATATAAAAGTCTGTGCCAAATTAAAGTTTCACGTATGATAGTTAATTTTAAAGTGGTTAAAATTAGAAGTCTTCAAAGGTCCCCTTATAACCCCCAAGTGTAGGCTGAATTGTCCCACTAATAAACAAAGAACAGACAGTTATATAGAGAAAGGTTTGTGTTCTATACATCTTGCTCTTAGCATGTCTCCATTGTGATAGACCAGGTGACCCTCCTCATCATCCTCAATACTCTTGGTTCTTTTCCTGCGATGACTTCTCTGGAGAAGGGGGAATCATCATCACCACCATCAAACACCAGTCAGAATCAGGCCCGTACGCATCATTCATTCATTCAGCGAGGGGGGGTTGATGAAGGGGAGGGAGTGATTCGGACCCCCGCGCCAGGCCACAGCGGCAGCAGCAAATTCAAATTCATCGCCAACAACGGCACAGGGCCACCATAGTGTGTGTTACAGAAGAAAGACATGGCAACACATTTTCAGACAGGATACAACTTTCTTTGAAGTGCACTTAAGAACAGCTAATTCTGTTCAAGACCCTCATCCAATCAACAAATAGCCATTTCTGCAACCAACTGATTCCTTGACCACCTTACTGCAAGTTTACAGCAGATGGTTTCTATGGTAAATCTGGACTTCCGAAACATTAACAAATACATCAGTTCAAGTAAAAATCGACATATTGACAAATCGTTTACCGAGTCTGAGCAGGGACTGCAGTGGCGTGATCGTTGGCGCTCTCTGCTGCTGCGTCGACTACGTCCTCTATGAGCAGACGACTGGCTGCACTGGTTCTCCCTCTCCGTCTCCAAGACCGGGTCCACCCGACCCTTATAACCTCCATGTTCCAGACTGGCTTCCCTGGCCCTGCGCTCTCGCCACTCCAGCCTCTTTGAGCTAATGTGACAAATGTCAATAACACACATCAGACACTGAGGAAAAAGACAGTTGTGCATATCACGACAATGAGATCTTTGACAGATCAATTTTGCAGGAGGGGATAAGGAATGCTGAATCGTGATCTGCTGGGTGCTGAAAGCATCAAGTGTCTTCTTGAACGGGAAGTGTCCATGAGCAAGCTATACTTAGAAAGAGCCACAGAAACAAGCTCCGAGAGAGCGGTTATGAGTGAAAGTGATGCTTTAACCTGTCAATGTTGCAGCAGTAAATCTGTTAGGAAGATGCCTGAGTGTTGTGTTTGATTTAAACAACTTGCAATCCAAATCACAGCTGTCAGCCTATAGTACATAAGCAGAACGTTCTGTATTACACCAACTGAAAGCCATCCGGATTCATTTTACGAAAATCAAACGTAAAACAGTCCTTCATTTTTGTTAAAGAATAGCAGATGCTATTGCAGATGGTTAAATTGATCAGTTGTTGATTGGATCTTAAGATGTTGCACTCAAAAATGGAGACAGATGAATGAGAGCTTGCAAAAGCAGGTTTGTCATTTTCATTGGAAGATTCAGTTAGGACATTGATTAAAAATTATGAGGTCAAATGAAATTGTGAATGCATGGTTGAATGATTCATCACGATAAGATTAAAAATGATTTGGAAAATAGAATTTCATTTCATAGCAACTTTAAAGGGGTCCTATTATGTTTTTTCACTTTTTAAATTTTAGTCAGTGTGTAGTGTGTATGTTTGGGCATAAAAAAGATCTAGAAAGTTACAAATCTCAAAGTCCAGTCAAAAGGGAGATATTTCGTTTTTAAAAAATCCCTTTTCAAGAACTACAACGAACGGCTCATTTGGACTACAGCGTTTGTTTTCCGGGCTTTGTGATATCACCAAGCGGCCCATTAGAATATCATTAAAAATAATTCCCGCCTACAGAAATTCGAATGGTCGGGGGGTGGGGAGGGGCAAGGTTGTGGTTAGAACACTTGGTTGAGTGAGTGCATCAGACGAGTTGACGACGAAGAAGTGCTGCTGCAGAGTGAGTGCATAAGAGAAAATGAAGAAGAGCTGCTGTGCTGTAGCGTCAAAGCGCCTACACTCATAGAAAATAATGAATTTGAATTTTAAAGATGTGGCGCGACGCGTCGCTGCACTTCTCGTCCGGTGCGCGACCGCCTGAAACGCTGTTTTTTTTCACCTTCGTGCCCAAACGTCTTTGTTTGGGCTTCCGAAAGGGGCTGGTGTCAGGAAACAGTGGTTGCAATTTATTTTTTAACTCTGTTCCTGAACATTATAACCCCAATTTGCTATTGTGTGCTGCGCATTTTACTAAGGACAGCTTCCACAACACAAGGGAGTACAGTGTCTGCCGGATTCGCCAAAAAGCTTTTGTTGAAAGACGGAGCAAGGGGCGTGGCAGTACTGAAACACTGTCTAAGCTGTTCGCCAATCACAACGCACTGGGACAGCTAACCAATCACAACACATTTTGTTTTTTGGAAGGCGGACCTTCATCAAAGCCGGAACTAATCGAGCAGTTTATGCCAGGATGGGGAGAAAGGTATTTTAATAATGTAAATTGTTAAAAATAATACGTTTTTCGAACCACCAAGCTAGGGATGCACCGATTATAGATTTTGTTATAGATTATAGATTATTCGATTATTGTCTGAGGAATAATCACGGTTTTATGATTATGACGATTATGCATTTATTCATTTCCCAACATTACTGATTTATAAATATAATCACATGAACACTCTTTAGATATTAAAGTGTTATTAATTGCTGGCTTTTGAAAATAACACAGTAACCAACAATACAGCACAAACTAATAATAAACAAAAGACAAACAAAAGTCCATCTCTCCCATTGGAATTAAAAAAAGGTGACCTCTGCTCTGTAAACATCCATGACAGTATTTCTCTTTTGAAAATAACAAATGGAAATGGATCACAAAAGTATTTAATGTTTTCAGTGTTAATTTCAAGTTAATGAAGTAGCCTATTATTAATATACGACTAATATTAACTTTATTTGTCCCACAGGGGAACCTGTTACTAATAATGGAAATAAACTTAAATATTATTGTAATCAAGTGTCATCCATACGTATTCATTTTAATAATCTTTATAATAATTCATATGATTTTACAAGTGACCTGAGAAAATCATGTCTATTATTTTGTTTTGTGAGATCGGAGATTGTGCTGCGCACGTGTACAAACATTCAGGAGGAAACAAACTTCTTGAGAATGCTGGCCCGTGACTTTTATTAATAAAATAGATTAAATAGCCTACTGGAGAGGCGCACAGACGCAGGTAGGCTAATTCACAATAGTCACCTCTCTCTCTCTCAATCTCGAATAATTCATTAATGCAGCTAAATGTTATAATTAATTCAAATAAATGTGATCTTACCGCACTACTTCATCTCTTTCTGATCTGAAGCGGGCAGAATGCGGAGCTAAC